CCATAAATATTTATGGAATGGAAAAGGAGGTATTCTAAGAAAAAGGGCAGTATTTTAAAAAGAGCAGCACTTCTGTAGTTACTGAGGAAAACTGGATTTTGTCTTTTATTTTGGTGGAGGATGGGAGTTTAATTTAGCCTTAAATTGAGATCAATTGGCAGGTGAGAAGTCCAAAACTTGTACTTTTCTAATCTAAGAATTTGAAGAAAGAGAAATGTGTGCTGAATGTTTTAAACATCCCTCACTAACCATACAAAGTTTGATTTTTTAAGTTACATTTATAAAAAATTTCTATCAAAACTATTTTAACATGCATGTGCTTTTTCAAATAAAAAATAGAATATACCAAATGCATAAACTTATATTAGTTAAATAAATTCAGTGTCTGAGTTTTTGTGATGGTTTTTGCATGTTCTTAATACAGAATGGGAAATACAATCCTCAGAAATTCATGCATCTCTTATTGAGGCAAAGATTATTCATTGCTTTTGCCTCACAAAGTATTGGTTTCAGTTATCATAAGGGAAACTATCATTAGTTAGTGTTCTACTTAATAGCAACCTTAATTAAAAGGAAAAAAGTGTTCTTTCAAAATATGTGTAACTTCTAAAAAGAACTTGATATGTGTTGAGTGACTTCAGTACATAAGACAAATTACTCCTCACCCCACAGTCCATCCTGAGCTCGGCTGGGACTGAACTGAGTAGCCAAGTCCCCAGGGACTAGGAAGAAATGCTTCCTCAGCCTCTTCACTCTCCTGCCTTCGCACATCTTTGGGGTGGACATGATTAAAATCATTCTGACAGTGGCAGATGTGATGAGTTTTAGTGAACCAAGATGTAAACGAAACGGTCACACTGATAACGCTGAAGATTCAGGCATCGCTGCTTTCCTGAGTATTTTCTAAGGTTCACTTCTGCCTTCCTCCCGTCCTGTAGACTCGTTTTGCGTGTCTTCAAAATGCCTGGACTCCTTATATGTGGAGACCCACAGGCTTCAATTTTGGTTAAGAAACTATTGGCTGGGACTAAGGAGCTGGAATAGAAATGCTACCAACTGCGATGAAAACCCAGTGGTCCAGGGCGACTGATGAAAGTCTGAGTACAAATGAGATGTGGTACAAATTAGTACAATTCTTCTTATGTCCAGAGTCAAAATTTTTTCGGTTAGATTCATGACTTGTTTACGTATCTACACAGATGCCTATACTTTGACCAACTCAGGTTTTTGCGAAAATCGGTTTGAAACTTAACAGTTCTAAAAGTTTAAACAGTTAACTGATAGATCATAACTTGAGTAAATGACAGTGGCCTTGAAGAGATGTAAAAATATTTAAGAAAATAACAATATGGATATAAATTAGCGGTTTGAGTCAGTGAGTGAGTTTTTTCCTAATTATATATAATATTGATACCTAACCTATTAAATTTTGGCTAGGCATCTGGATAGAAACCATAGAAACTAAGGAGGACTGAGACTACTTACTAATTGGCAAGCTTACAAGGGCTTTTGCTGCCTGACTGTTCTCTAGTTTAAGAATGTAGAGATCAATTCATTAAAAAATGGGTAGGTTCCTGCCATTTGTTGGCAACTCTTAAACACTGGGAACTCTGCTATGAGTAATATGCTACATCTGCCCCCAAGGAGCTTACAGCCTAGTTAGGGAAACAATACCAGATACAATGTCAGGTAATGGTGATTGCTGTGAGTAATAATTCAGGGGAAGGAGTTGAAAGTTGAGAGAAGTGGCATTTTGGAAGTCTTTGCAGAAGGTAGTTTAAGCAGAGGCCTAAAACAAGTGAGAGAAAAAACTATGGGCAGAGGAAATTAACGCAAAGGCCTTAGGGTGAGAATGAGCTTCATGTCCAGGAATCAAGGCCAATGTTGGTGGAGATGAGTGAGCAAAGGGGATATTGGACTGGTGGATGCCGGTCAGAGGTGGCAGAAAGAAGCTGTAGCTCATTTGCGGTCCTGAGCACATTCTCACCGGGTCTAGTAAACACAAAGACCCCTGTGGCTGCTTATGTGAGTAGGTAAGGAGGGGATGATGGCTAATGTGGAAAGAACAAGCGATTTGGAGGCTTCTGCAGTGGTTCAGGTAAGAGGCGATGGTGACTTGTACTAAAGCAGTGGGGATGGACACGTTCACATTTGAAATCTGGAGGCAGTGGGACTTAATAAGAATACAGTGGAGTTGGGAGAGGAACCAAGGATAATTGGCTCAAGGCCTAAAAACCTGAGTGGAAGATGCAGAGGTGGAGAACAAACTGGTACTTGGTGCAGAACTACATTGGTTACTACGTCCAGTACTCAAGGAAGTAGAAGTACCAAAATAAAAACAAACCCGAACCATGTGGCACTGGCTGGAAGGACCTTGGGGAGGGTTAGATTCATGAGCACATGAATCTTAAGGGCCTTCAGGAGAGTGTTAACCAAAACATAATGGGTCGCAAGGATGCTTTGGGTGAGAGCTAAAAAAAAAAAATAAGGAAACTCAATCGGAAGCAGGAGAACAGGGGCCCTTGTTATGCAGGGATGGAAAGCTTGGCAAACGTCACAGTCACATGGAAAATAGGGAAATGCACCTAATGTACTGGTGCTCTATCTGAAGAGATTAGTAGGTAGAATTTGAGAAGTGCCTCCTGGTTCCTTGCTGCTATGACAGTGTGAGAGGGGAGAGAGGAATGAAAGAAAAAGCCATTACATACAAAAGAGCCAGGACAATTTCTTATTCCCAGACTTTCTTTTGGAGGGTGGCTGATCCCCAAACTACGTTCCATGCCAAAAATCAGCTCAGGGTACGAGTGCAAGATCCTTTGCTAGCACCTCAGAAGGAGCTAAGGCTGTGCTTTCAGACCTCAGACAGACGGAAGGTCTGCCACGCTGTGGGGAAGCACACACTAGCCTTGTGTTCTCAGGGTCCTCCCCTAAGCCCCCAGCCGCTCCAGGACCCTGCCTCAGCTCAAGCTACTGTAGGACTAGTTAGTTGTCTGAGAGACCTCAGGCCAGAAGCAGCCACATGAACCCCTCTCAGTTTCCTAACTCAGAAGTCAGGGGAAATAATAAAATGATTGTTTCTATTTCAAGCCACTAAGTTTCAGGAATGAATTGTGAAGCAACAATAATTACACTATCCCATCACCACTGCCCCCACCCCCTGCCAGAAACCATTGTGATCTGATATTTGCTTTTTTTTTTTTTACGTGAATTTGATACTCTGGGAGAATGTGTTTTTCACTTACATATGATACTGGGCAATGGATTTTACTGTATTCCTTGCCATTCGATATTTACATCCATGTTGCTGTGTGCACATCAGTCTGCTCTCCCCAGCGGAGGTGCAGAACAGCATAAAGTGCGTTTTACTTGGCTGTTCCTCTAGTAATGACCCACGAGATTGCCTCCAGTCCCCACACCACGGAGCTGTCACAGACATCCTGGGATGCAGCCCCTCATGGCCCTCTGTGAGAACTTCTCAGGGCGACGTACCAGAGGGGGCTGCTGGGTCAGAGGGCACGAGTTCACGTGCTCTGACCACGTCCTGCCCGGCTGTTCTGCAGGTCACTGCACCAGTCTTCATGCCAGAACCAGAACAAGCGAAGGCCAGTGTGCTCACTTGCTGGCCCCATTTCTTCATTTTACTTGTAAAAGGAACCAGTTTGTTTTGCCGGAGAGTTGATTTTCCTTAAGTGTCCAGAATACGTATGCACAGGACCCACTTCTTCACAGTCAGGTCTTACTTCAAATGTCACCTAACCACCCCGTGGCGAACAGCCACCACGTCACTGTCACTCTTGGCTCGCTGAGCTCTCCGTTGTTTTTACAGTGGCACATCTGTGAGTGGGTCCACTGTCTGTCCATAGTGCAGGCCGCGTCGCAGGTCCATGAAGATTGCTGAGACTTACAACTGCCTTGCCAGGAGCCTGATGCAACCAAGGAGCTGCCTCCCCCAGGCCCACCCTCACTCGGTCCACGGAGAGAGGACTGGGAGGCACGCAACCTTCTCTCTCTCTGTGCCCCCATCTTGGACTCACCTAGCTCAGGGGTGAGGGTACCAGGACATCCTGTTAATGCGTGGGACTGCGCTCTCTGGGGCAGAGCTTGGTGCCATCGGTGCTGGTGGGGTCTTGACTGTCTCGGAAGCGGTTTGCTTGCTCGGTATCTGTTGAGTGGACAAATGGAGTTTGTAGACCTTGACCTCTGGTCTTAACGATCCTCTGGTAGACAAAGGGGGAGTGTTTTGGAAAAAGCGCTTGAGAAAAAAGTGAACCATACAGCCTGCACTGCCTGACACTACACCAGCTACATGTGTCAGATTAAAATGAAATGAGAAACAGCCCTTGAGTCACACTAGCCACACGTAGCTGGTACGGACACACGTTTCCTTCACCACTAAAGGTGTGTTGGCCAGCTCTGTGGAAAGAAACAGAACTGCTGTAGGCATGCTCTGAAAATGCAAACCTGCCTTAGAGTTCCGGGTGGAATCTTTCCCTCCTTCCTTCCTCAGGGTTAAAAAGGTCAGAGTGCGGCTTCCTCAGAAAAAAGAACAAGTAGCTGCTTCTCATTCAGGAGGCTGGATGCCCTCCTTCCCGCAGGCTTCCTCCGGAGGACGCTCCCCAGCTGGGGAGGACACTCCCCAGCTCCCTGCTGGGCCCGTCTTCTGTATGGTTGTGCAAGGTCCACGCGTCATTAGCACCACACTCACACTGGGATACAATTTATTTTCACGTCCTGAGCATCGTTTGAGAATGAGAAAAGTTGTATGTTTTCTGTCAACATGACATATGAACTGTCTCTCTTTCGAGGGCGGGATGACTTTGGAAGGTTGCTTTTTTCCCCTTTTGTTGTCATTAATTCTTTTAATTCCAGTATCTGTTTAAGGGTAGAATCAGTAAGTTATTGGTAGTTGACCCTCGATAATTATGAACATTTATTTCCAATTTAAAATTAAGAAATAAGAATTGAGGGAAAAAGTCAAATGTTATAAATTTATTTGGGATATCTTTTGCCACCTCTTCGGAAGCCTTTGAAAATTCAAGCAGAAATCAATACACTTTCATCTTTTTTTTTTTTACTTTCAATAAATAACATCTTTGTATGCATATATAGATAGGTATACTTAATGAATGAGTCATCTAGCAGGACTTTTAAGTTTTCTATTGCATTAATTCCAAAACAGCTCTTTCCATATTGAGAAGATGCAAAGGAGGTGAGAGTTAAGGCAAACCTAAAGGGCATGCAAATGTCGTACATTTCTATTCACTGGTAACACAAGTTCTTGTGTGGGGACCACACGGAGGAGCCCTGGGCCCCTCTGCGTGTCTGTCCAGGACTATTTTACAGGAGAAGGGCGATACACAGAATTAATTAAATTACGTTACCGTGGCAGGGGGGAGGGGCCTCAGAGCCACTAACATCGTGTAATCAAGGAGACACAAGCATTAGCAAAACAGGAACAAGGAATCATGTAACTCTTTGCAGCACATTTCTGGCCAGGCTTTGGAGAAGGAGAGTTAGGTATGAAATAATATTACACATATCACATTGTGGCAGGTTGTTGGTTGGTTGGTTTTATAATATACGCTTTTGAAAATTCATTAGCAAATGACATTCTCATGCACACAAGTGTTTCAAACACAAGAAGCAAGTCCATGTATAGGTAGTCCAAGCAATATCTGTGTGTGTGTGTGTGTGTGTGTGTGTGTGTGTGTGTGTGTGTGTGTGTGAATAGCTGCAGACTGAATGGAACATTGAGACTTCGGTGCGGTCCATAGCATTGACCTCCGCTCATTTCTGAATGTCACACTGCAGAAGTAATACAATGGAAGGGTCGCTCTTGGCAGCTTCTTTGAATTCATCCAGTGTAATCTGGTCATCTTTGTTCTTATCCATCTTGCTGAAAATCTTGTCCACTCGCTGCTCAGGCGTGAGGCCATCCTCATTCATCTTCATCATGATCACAGTGCCCACCATTTTGTAGATGGCCTAGGGAAAACAACAAGCAGACCACAGAGTTCTCCTGTGATGTGATATGGACCCCCAGTCTACATCAAAGGACTCCCGAAATGGTTTTAAAGAAGAGAATTATATAATCATGTATGCGTGACTTTCACAGCCAACCGGGTAGGGTAGAATTTTGGGTGATTGTCAGGTTTCTGGCTGGAGGAACTGGGTAGAAAGAGTAGCTCCATGGGGAGGTCAAGAATCATGGATTAGGAAACATGATTCTTGTTCCTCAGGGAAGAAAAGAATTATTTCTGTTTTAAACACTCCGAGTGTGAGGTATAGATGACAGTCAACAAGCCCTAGCCCTGGGGAATTTAGAAACTAGAAAAAGATGAAGTGTGGTCTCACCTGATCAGGAACTTACAATCTGTTTAGATGATCAAGCAAGAGAGACTACTAAAATTTAGCCCTGAGTGAAGTTTGTGGAAGGAGAGCTGTGGAATAGGTACTATGTTCATAAATTAAATGGTAGAGCAAGAAGATTCCAGTTGTTGCACTAATCATACAAAGTTAGTTCTCAGTTTGGAAACTTCCTAGGTAGAAACAATTTCCCCCCCTTAAGAAAGCACCTTAAAAATAAGTGCTCACCTATACAAAGACGTGCAGGTAAACATTCATAGCAACATTATTAACAGCAAAAAAGTGAAAACAGTTGGTGAGCAGATCAACGAATATGACATATTAATACAATTGAATACTATTTTAGCAATACCAAGGAATGTAATAAATCCTACAACATAGATTTTAAAAAAGGAAGCCAGACACTAGAGGCCATATACGTGTATTTTTTGACTTCACTTACGTGACATGTCCAGGAAGACAAGACCATAGGGACAAGGTAGAGCAATGGTTTACTGAGTCCAGGGGAGAAAATGGGCAGGTGGGCACGGAGAACTTACTGAGGGAACGAAAATGTTCTAAAACTGGATTATAGCGATGGTTGCACACTTTGCTAAGTTTACTAAAAATTGTACAGTTAAAACAGGCAGATTTATGGTCTAAATTTTGACTCAGTAGAGTTTTATTTTAAAAAATGCAAGTTGGAGGGGCCACAGCAGCATCTTATGCCCACAGGGGAGGCTAGTTGGGGGAGGCAGCCGACTTCTGGCAGGGCAGAGCTCAGCCGCTGACGAAGAAACTGAGTCCTGAGACATCCTGCACGCCCAGTAAACGTATGTTTGTGGAAGATCTCACAGCATGTGAGTGGCTGGTTAACATGCTGATTCTCAGCTGACAGTGCCTGGGAGCCTGGACCTGTGACTTCCCAGCACTGTGCTGGAGTGGGGGACAGTTTTAGGAGAAGTCAAGGGTGGACATGTCATTAGCCACACTCTCGAGGGAAGAAAACAAGCCACTGTAGCCCATGCCCAAGAAGCTAGGGCACAGCCTTCTGTGCCCCGCAGCCCAGGTCCCCCCTGCACCCCAGAGCGCCTACCACTCACCTCAATGATCTCCAGCATCTCCACGCGGGTGATCTTGCCATCGCCGTCCAGGTCATACATGTTGAAGGCCCAGTTCAGTTTCTGCTCAAAGCTGCCCCTGGAGGTGATGGACAGGGCACAGATGAACTCTCGGAAGTCGATGGTGCCGTCCCCATTCTTGTCAAAGGTTCGGAAGGCATGCTGGGCAAACTTGGAGGCGTCTCCGTAAGGGAAGAACTACAAAGCAGAGCAGACACACATTGTTCAGGTGCCAGCAGGGAAAGAAGCGCAGGCCCTGGTCCAGGCTGAGGCCTGAGCCCCGACAGAACAAAAGGCCACAGCACCGTGGATGGTCACATGCCACTGCCAGAAGGGCCGTGACAGGCTCTCCTATCTGAACAGCCATTTGTCCCAGTGCTCAAGGCCAAGGGCAGGCACAGGGTATCAGCCCGTCTCTCTGCTGACCTCCCTCACAAGCATTGTTGGTGTTTCCTGCAGGCAAGGATGGGGCCTGGGTGCAGGCAGCTAGCACCCCTCATCTGTGGCCTCTCTGGTCACTCTGACAAGAACAAGGACAGGGCAGGTAGCAGACTTCTCTCCCTAAGTGAGGCAGCGCTACATGAACTTCCACATTTGTCTCTGCACAAGTCTGGGCCCACGGCCCTGTGTGGCTGGAGTGAGACTGCCCGGACCTCCTTTCTCCTGCTGCCAGCCCCCTGCCCCCAGCCTGCTGTCATCTCTGGCTTTTCTTCTGTAGGGCAGGCATTTAAAATTCATTACGAATAGAACGTGATTGGGCTTATTTTTGAGAGATAGGAAGAGGTTTCTTCTCAGAGCCACGAGTTGGCAAAGGTGCTGGGGAAGACAGATGGACAGAGGAGGGGAAGGCAGCACAGACCTCGAGAAGCCAGGCTGTGCAGCACGAGGCGGTGGCCTTGGCCCCGGACTAGTCTAAGGCAGTCACAAATGGCAGGGACTCTGTCTGCCCCAGCAAAGCTAAAGGACATTCTCCGGGTGGGAGGATAGAAAAGAAAAAAATACACCTGAAAACACCAATACTCTCACCCAAGTAACCATACATTATTTTAAAGCAGAAAAGGTACGCATGTGTTTCCGGATGAATAAGTCCAGCAAATACAAAATTCAAAGCATATTCTTGAGGGTGTCACTGGTATTGTTATTCCTTTGTACGTTGTTAGTGGGACAGGCTGCACCTGTGGGGACCCTGAGTTTCTCTTTCTCGCTGTATATCCTGACCCGGGACCTGCTGCCCACTCCTACGCCTAGAAGCATGCTGGAAGGTAGATTTCCCTTCAGAGATAAAACACGCTTTTCCACGTCACGACCCCATATATGAGGCCCAGGGAAGGGACCAGCATCGCAGGGAGGAGGAGCCAACTCAGGCTTGAATTTCAGTAGCAGCCACTTTCAGTCACCAAGATTCGTTCTGGTTACTATTGCTTTGCAACGAACCACCCTAAGACTCAGAGGTGGAAAACGACAGCAATCCTTTCATTAATCTCAGAAAACGAAAATTTGACAAGCATTTGTTTTTCATCAAGCAGCTGCTCTTCCTATGGTTGTGAAGGGCAACTTTCTCCTTTGTTCCCTCATCCCCTAAACATACCATATTTCTGGATCCTTCACTGTGCATCATTCCTCAAAATCCATCGTGACCTTTATCTGTGCAGGCCCTGTCTTCAGTGCTGGGAATACAGAGATGGAGACCTCGCACTTAATGGGGGAACCCAACGTGAAATCCATTTACAACAGTCGTGCTGTCGGGTCAGAGCTAGAACCCAGAAGTGGACAAAGACTACCAAAGCCCTAGAGTAGCTCCAGGGAGGGGCGGTATGGAGGGAAAAGGCTTCCTCCTTCTTCCATCTGCTCTGCAGGCTCCCCCGCAAGGAGCCTAGGCATCTGACCACGTGTTGCCAGGTGCTGAGTTTTAAACCAAGCAATTTGAACTTGAAAATTTCTAAATAGGTAAATTTGATCCTCACGTGCTCTGATCTATGTTTTACTCACACTTCTGACACCAGCCTTGTGGTTCCCCTCCTGCACAACCACCAATTCTCCATCTCTCCGGGCACCAACTGAGTGCCCAGTAATTCGATTTAGTTCTGACACTAACTGCTGGCAGTTAGCACAGACCCCACAGGTCAAGGGCACAGTCCCACAAGACTACTTCCACTTGAGATGTCAGTTGCAAGTCCCAGGTCACCACCTGTACCTCTGATAGACTTGCTGTAAAGTTGGGGGGTCCCCTAACCCCCTCCTTTGATAACGTGCTACAGTGACTCATAGAATTCAGAAAGGTGCTTCATTTACTATTATCAGTGTGCTGTAAAGGCGTAAAGGTAACAAGTCAGGAACAGTCCAACAGAAGAGATGCACAGGACAGGTATGGGGGACGGTGTGTGGGGCTCCCACGTCCTCTCCGGGCACACCACCCTCCCAGTGCCACGATGTGTTCACCACCCACGAGGTCCTGAACCCTATTGTTTATGGGGTTCCATGGGATTTCATTACGTAGGCATGGTTGATAAAATCACCAGCCATTGGGGATTACCTTCCATCTCCAGCCCCTCTCCCCTCTCTGGAGGTCTTGGGTGGGGTTGAAAGTTCGGGCCCTCTAACCCTGCTTTGGTCTTCCCCTGACCACCCCCCATCCTGCAGGTACCTAGGGGCCCCCAGCCACCAGTCACCTCATTAACACACACGAGACACTGTTATCACTCCAGAGATCACTAGAGTCTGAGAAACTTTTGTGTCAGGAACCGGGACCGAGACCAGATAGGTACTTATTGTACCACAGTGTCCTCTGTGGCTTGCGCATGAGTGGTTTTCATTTCGTTCTAGGCAGTGAGGTTTGCTGAAGTGCCCATCCGGCCAGGAATCTTGGGTGGAGCTGGTATCTGTGAAATAACCTAAAAGCAGAGTGGATTGAGCCTCTTGGCTGATCTGAGTCTCCTTAGGGCTGTTTTCCTGCCAGCTTTTCCTGTAGGCACTGACATGAGACCATTGGCGATTATTTTTCTCTATCCGAGAGGTTTTCTGGCCCTGTAATGCTTTGACTATCTTATCTCTCACAGCGTATTTTTAAACTAAGGGACATCTGGCAGCTTTATCTAAAAGTAGCTGGGCACCTTAGGTCAGTATATTAAAAATTAATATAGTCTAGATATCCTTGAGAAAGAAAACCAATGGTCAAGTTTGAGCTATAAAAGTGACATCCTCCTTGCAGAAGGTCTGTACCTGACCTTCATAGCCAGTTTGTTTGTATCTGAAAACCTGGGTGTGCAGGAGCCTTCCAACATCTGAAGGGGCTGTTTCCTTTCGAAACTACATATTATCCCGTTCTGAGTGCGCTGAGCTTTTCCAATCAGGGGATGCTTCTTCTTCTGATGAGACCGTTCAGCTCTGGCAGGATCAGCACAGAAAAATGAAGCCACACTCCTTCAGCCTCTTCAGGAAGAAATCAGGCTCTTGAACTCATCACATTCACTTCTGTTAGAGGGAAACAGTATATCTGAGAAGTAAAAGGGTTTGTTTGTTTGTTTTTGCATATTGTTGCTTAAAATGTGTTTTTATTTTTTTAAAGTCAATGTACTTTGCTTCCACACCCGTATTACATGTTAATGGGAAGATAATTTTTGGTGGCATTAATAATCTACAAACCTTTTAATATAATAGATAACAGAACTTGGAGGTTGAAAAATTACTTACATGTAATTAGATATATTTCACTAATGTCTTAGTATTATAGTTCGGGCTGCTGAAACAAGCTCACAGACTGGGTGGCTTAGAAGCAACAGGAATTACTTCTCATAGTTCTCCAGACTGGAAGTCCAAGATGAAGGTGTCAAAATGATCAGGTGCCGGTGAGGGCCCTCTTCTGGGTTACAGACACCTGACGTCTCACACCACTCTCCTTCCTCTGCTTTATGCCCCTGGATCCCAACTCTGTCCCTAGGTGTCACTAAACATGCCCCTTGCTTTCACACTTCACATGCCTCCCCTTTGTCACCCCATGTCATCTCGGTTGGTCAAGAAATCCCACCTTTTCTTTACATCCATTTCAGATGCTCCACCACCGTGAAGCTTTCAGACTGGGCTGAATCTTCCCCTCTGCTTGGTTTGTGCTTCTTATTTAGATGAATCTCTCCAAACCCTGTGCCTTAGACTCTGGTAAGTCCTATCCTCCTGTCTCTAGTCCTCCTGGGCCTTGTGATGATTTGATCGTCTCCGCGCCCCACCCTCACCCCAGCTTTCCCCTTAGGGCCTCCCAAGGAGAAGCTCCACGAACGCCTGGTGAGCCGGGGTCTGTGGTCTTGCACATCTTTGATTTGTCTTAGTGTCTCTTCTCTGAGCAGCTCACTTTCCTCTGAGAAATGGGAATGTTGCATTAACTGACGGCACACGCTCCCACGAGGCAAGAGAAGGGTTTCCACTACACCTGAAAAGTCTCAAGAAATATTAAAATATTCATCATTAAAATGTCAGCTCTTGTATTCACAGAATTCCCTATACCACTTTACTGCTTTTTCTCCAAAAAGCTGACCACCATACAGCATATTTTAATTATTTATTCCTTGTCTTTCTTTCTCCATGAGAAGTGTCAGGTCCAGGAGGGCAGAGAGTCTGGGCTGCTGTGCTATTTTGTTCAGCACCTAATTGCTACAGAGCAGGTACTCAGTAATTATTAGTGAAAAAATAAGAGAACTAAATTCTTTTTGAGCTGTTCTCCCTAATAACTGTACTATGTAGTTGCAACCGATCACACATTCAGCATCTCCCAGAATCCTCCAGACAAGCCAAGGGGATGGTTTGGTTCTTAACTTTTACTTAGTAACAGAGAGGTAAGTTTTGAGGACAGAGGTTTAGACCATCTGCCATTCCTACTTATTTAGGGGATTATCTATTTAACATCTATTACTGAACTAAATGCCCAGAGTGCACAGTCCATTGTCTCACCTATGTATCCACAGCCTGTAGCACGGGTTCTGCACACAGTACGTGTTGTGTGTACAATCTGGTTGAATGACCACATGGGCAGAACATTTGCAGGGCCAACTCGAGGGTAACAAATGCTGCTGCTGAAAACGCCTACCACTTATTGAACATCTATTAGATTCTAGCCGGCTCTGTCCAACAGAACTTCTTGTGATGATGGAATATTCTATGAACCACATTGTTCAAAATGATAGTCACTAGCCATGTGTTAACCATTGTGT